AAAAAAAAGGGGATCTTCCTACCTGGAACACTGCACTGCAATGGGTGGTCGTTGGGTATAATGCAAGTAAGAATGAATAAGAGAAAATCAGAAAAATATGGGGAATCCAGGCTGACACCGAAGGAATATACGGGTATTAATTATCAAACTGTGTCGCGAAAAGATGTGGCTGAAATTAGCCCAGCAAAAATGGTAGACAAGAACGATGGTAGATGAGAGGAAGAAAGAAGAGGGTTGAAAAATTATAACAAAGACGATGAGAATATGACGGAAGCTCTGTGTGTGTGTTTGTGTGAAGGAGCCTCCCTTCTGCTTCTCCTCAGGATTTTCTTTTAATTATTTTTTATTTTTATTTTTTTTCTTCCTTTTCTCGTTTTGGTTGCGCCGTTGGTAAATGAAAAAATAAAAATAAAAAAAGGAACCAAGAAAAAAAAGTGGAGGGGAAGAAAAAGGCAAGGAGGGGGAACCAAAAGTGGGTGTGGGTTTAAAAGAGGTCACGGTTCGTAAGACCGATAGAGATCAATAATTGACCTCTGGTCATTGAAAAGAAACCAGAAACAGTGGTTCCCTCCAATGGCGACACTTTCAAGGTGGATTGGGAAGAGAATATTTAGGAAATTACCCGACAGAGCAAAGCAAGGTTCAGGATCAGAAGAACGTAGAAATTCAATAGATCGGCTAACCTTATGGGACGAACCGAGAGGGTGAGGGGTGAAATGAAAAGAATTCATAGAAACCCTCAATGATATGATCACAATGACAGATACCAGTCGGAACAAGAGGCGGTCAACTTCATTGGACCCCAGTCAAGTGGATTGCAGTAGTCGGGATGTCCAGCAATTATAGCCACGAAGATGCAGCGATGGAGGGGCCTGTTGGATTGGGAAGCGCGCAGAGCGGCGGTTGGTGGGGAAAGGGCATCAAACAGAAATTAATGGTGATCAATCACAGAGGGGGCAAGAAGTGCGGGACTCCAGAACGAGAAAGGAGAGAAAGAAGGAGAATGAGAAACAGCAAGAGTGAAGGGTGAAAATCATCTTCCCCGGTGGTTTATTATTAGTGAAATTGGCTGGAACTGACTGAATGACAGATTTGATGGTGGGATATAAATTCGTTTGGCACTGGCGTCATCCTTTCTGTTTTGGTCATTTTAGTATTTGGGAATTCGCCATCATTGCCATTCTCCTACAACCCAAAGAACTGAGGAATGTTCGTCTGTGGCAGACATTATCTATTCACCAGTGCTATTTTCTTTTCCCTCCTTCCCTCTCCTTTTCTCTTCGACTAAACTAATATCAGGTCAAACATCCCACTCGGTCCCAATGGACTGATTGGTTTTAGTGTGTGGGGAATCTCAGAAAAGTCAGACATGCAAGGCCACCTTTTTTCCAGCCTCAATTTACCCAAATCTTTTTTCCCCCTCGGCAATGTTTGTGATATGTATAACCCTATCAGACGGATCACAATCATGCCCAATTCCACAGGAGTGATCAGATCACCGAGTTGTGGGAGAGAATGTCTTCGGGGAATGCGGTTGATTCGATGGTCCCTATTGGGAAGGACACCAGCATCTCCACTCTTTCACTGAATGCACGCTGAAATCATAGGACCACAACTGACGTAGTGGTGGGCAATCCTATCAACTAAGCGTAACGTGTCGATCCCATGGTCAACTACTGCCCATCTGACTAATAACCCCCTTTTACATCATTTCCAACCCCAAGGAACCAAAGATGTTACAAGATTGGCGGTGCACGTGGGAAGTTACTTCTTTCTGGATAATGTCCATCGTTGGGCTCCATATCCGAATGAACGTGACGGAAGAGTGTAAGCAAACGGAGAAAGAAGAAAGGGATGGGGGAAAAAAAAGAGAGCCATAGTTCATTCCGTCATCGCACAATATTGCCCTTTCTCGGAATCTTATTCAGATCACGATCATCACTTAGACAAAATAGCGCAGACCAGCCACCAGAAAAGTCACGTCAACTCCTTCTGCATGAGAGGTTCTGGGCCCTCAGGGGCCATCCAAATTTAGATTGGACAGGAAGGAATGTACCGTGCTCGTGGTAGAGTAAGAAAAGAAAAAAAAACAAAAAAAAAAAAGAGGATGAGGATGAGGTAACCCTTCAGTCGCAATGTGTCATACTGCGGGGTGTCATGAGCTAAGACGATAAAGGAGAATCCGATAAGGATGGGTTATGACAGGATGCAGAAGATGATCCTGTTGTTGTGACCGGAATATCAGTCACAATCCCCAGCCTCTTCGCTCCGTGAATTCTGGTTTGGTGGAAGAAATATCTGTTTTAACCACTTGGGTTTCCGCTCGAGCCTTTATACAAAATCCCAAGTCCGTGGGGACGATGAACGCACATCCATGAACCCGAGGAGGTCTATTGGGTCTAGTTCCCCAGCCTGCCTATCAGAGAAATGCGCTTGAAAAATGACATCAGTGTGGGGCCACGAGACCGCCAATCCGTGACGACCGCTGACGTTGGCGGGGCTCTGCCAAGATGTCTAAAGCTTGGGCCGCCTTCCAGACACTTCGGTGCCGTACAGGGGGTTACCGAGTCCTGTATCCTTATCATGCTGTACTAAGTCATCCTCGACCGAAACGCAAACACAGGTTGTTTGTCAATCGCCGGAGCTTTTCGGCCTCCTACTCCCCTCTCATAGGGGAAGAAGTGCAGTAGTTTTGGATACAGAGGAAAAGACGATGACCGAGCAATCCAATGGTTTTTCGCTCGGCTGATTCTCGCTGAACTTGCCCGACTATCACCACCCGATCAGGAAATCTGTCTGGTCCTGGTAGGCTGGTAACAGCACACTTCTCGAACGAAAGGGTGGGTCGTCAACCACCAGGGGTAAAGGCCTTGGACGTATGTCTCGCTGGCCTGAAATTTAGGCCTCTAAGAGTTCCCAAGGGTTGAAACGGGACTAATAGTACCGACGATGACATTTCCGCTGGTATCGGATAGGCTTGTTTTCTGTTCCACTCAGGGTACCAGCGCCGTGTTCCGTGTGATCAATATGCAGCAGCACATCCTATGACATCAGCCTGCATGTTTCTTACCCTCTGGGTTGATACCCACACCTCTTCGCAGTGAACCAAGTCGGTCTGTGCAGCGTTGTACTGTACCATCAACGTGAAATCTTGGAGACAGGACCGTCATGTGCCCTGACTACTAGTATTTTTATTGTTCCTCTTTTTCACACCCTTATCCTCTTTCTTGCACTTCGTCGTTTCTCGAACAGCTGCTGATATACGAGAGTAAGCTGATTTCAGCGAACGTGATCAACGCACGTGACGCGAGAGTATTGATTTGACAGCCCTACAAGTTAAGGGATACGATACCCACTACAGTACAGAGCTGTGTCCATCTCACTCTCCTACCAATAGTCCATTGTCCAGCGGGTTAAACATCCGCCATCCGCAAGCTTAGACGACGTTTAAACAGCCACATGCGCTATCAGATACGGAGATGAAACTTCTTGGTTTCTCGATAAGATAAGTGATACATATGTTGCTATGGATAACTTTTCCTTCACCCAAAATGTACACTACTTGAGAATATGCGATAGAATGATACACCAAATTTGGGATACATCTCTAACCCAAGCTGATTCACCGGAATTGAATTCCAGTTCTTATCATTTCATCTAAGCATTGACCTTAGCAAAATCCCAACAGATCTCAATATGTTGATAACTGTTTGGAGCCTCGGCATCTCAACGTGTATTACATAAGCCAGATCCCCATTTCATTTTCTTCCCCTTTGTCCAGCTGTCGACCAGTGCGGTATCAATTGCTTCACCCTATCGCTTTGGGGCATTTCAGCTGTTCCTGCTGCTAACTCAAACCCCATAATTCGGTCGTGTCGTATAACCCGCGGCACAATCTACCGCCAGCAGCAGCACATCCAGACCAAGCACTCAGCAGCTTTCCATCCAAACACAACTCGAAAAACAAGAGCAGCACAACAAAAGACCCAAAATGTCTTCCAAATCCGCCTCCCCCCGGGGCCCCAAAGGCCTCACAAAACTGTACCTCCTAGGCTACAACGCTGCCAGCTTAACCCTCTGGGCGACCTGCACCCTCCGCGGCTTCTACCTCCTCGCAACCAACTCCCCCGAGGACATTCCCGCCATCTTCAACGACATCTACTGGCCTCTCCTGACCACGACCCAAACACTGGCCGTCCTGGAGATCTTCCACAGCCTGCTCGGCATCGTGCGCGCCCCCGTCACCACGACCGCGATGCAGGTCGCGAGCCGACTGCTTCTCATCTGGGGTGTGATGTTCCTGTTCCACGAACAAGGTGACGGCGCAGGCATCGTGGGGGCTCCCACGGAGACGGTGAAGGTGGGCGACTATGCCTTCCTGGGCTGTTTGAGCGCCTGGGGTATTACCGAGTGTATTCGGTATGGGTTCTTTGCCTTGCAGGTTCTGGGCGCGGGTGTGCCCGGGTGGCTGACTTGGCTGAGGTATGCATTGCCCTTTTAACTTTTATGGGTCTGGCTTCGGGGTGAACTTTGCTAACACGTGGAATTTAGATACAACACCTTCTATGTGCTCTACCCGCTTGGCATCACCAGTGAGTGCGTCATGGTTGTGAAGGCGCTGGAGCCGGCTGCCGAGTTTAACCCTCTGTACCGGTGGTTCTTGATCGTCGTTCTGGGTATCTATGTTCCTGGTAGGTTTCTGCCTTCGCTTCCCAGATATGTGTCCTGTGCTGATTACCCGTTAGGCTCTTACATCTTGTACACGCATATGATTGCCCAGAGAAAGAAGGTGCTCAAGAAGAGGGCGGAGTAGAGTGATGGCTGCAGATGTAAGATGTCGGTGTTGATATGGCGAAAGTGATGGGTTGGTCTAGATAAGCTTAATTCTGCTACAAGACGCATTGGTAATGATGTACTGCTGGTTACATACTCTATCATTTCATTACGCGTAATAAGTAGGGCCTGAACTAGGTGCATTATAACTCCATCATGATATCTCGCACGGCTTTCGCCGCAAATCGTTTCCGTTCACTCTCCGGTAACTCATCACTCATGTCTATACGAATAAGCACCCAGCAGAACTAGGGGAGAAAAGGGCGCAGACATACCTTTAATCGCTTTCATCCGCAACATCAACGCCTCCATTGACTCAACCTTCATCTCATCATCCCCGTCAATCCCGCCTACATCGTCGCCTCCATTCTCAATCGCAAACCGCAACCCAACCATCTCCCGCTCCAGCTCGTTCACCTCCAGATCGAACCCATCCTCGAGCAAGTGCCTCTCCAGCTCATCCTCAACACCATCCACACCATCCGATTCCCCAACAGGTGTCGAAGCCCAATCATGGGTCTCTAGAATCTCCCTCACCCTTCGCATACCCTGATACTCTGTTTCACGTTAGCATATATCTAAACACCCTGAAACCCAACCAACCATCTCTCCAGACAAAGAAAGAAAAAGAAGAAAACATACCCCCAAACCGATCCCTCTCCTCCGAACTCCCAACCTCCCTAGGATCCCAATTAACAACCTCAAAGCCCATCAACCCCAGATCAAACAATTTATCCTCCCACCAGGGGACAGAAAAGACCTCTTCCTCCCCCAAGCCATCGACCTCATCCGCATCCCCCCCAGCAGCAGCAGCAGCAGTACCAACACCGGACTCCCTCCCCCTGCCCACCAAACCACCAACCCAAGAACATCACCCAGTCCTCTCTCCTCATCCATAACCCCCTTAACAGAACCCACAGCTTCCAGGAACGTCCGCAGACCCTTCCACTCCGGTCTTTCCTCCACATCCGCTTCTGCTTCTGCTTCTGCAGACGGAGACGGAGACGCAGACACGAGATCCAAATTGCGCAAACATATAACCACGCCCCCGATGGCATCCCTAACGACCTTCGCTTCTGGGCCGGAGAACTCTTTCCGCCATGTTATTGGCGTGAGGGGTTCTTGTTCTTGTTCTTGTTTTTGTCCTTCTTCTTCTTCTTCTTCTTCTTCTTTTCCTTGGGGGTTTAGCTCCGGTTGGTCATTTTGTGTAGTTGTAGTTGTAGTTGTATTCGCATTCACATCCTCAGACCCAGACCCAGGAATAGAAAGCGGGATCTCATCAACCCAAATCGGCACCTCGGCTTTATAATACCTATTCTCGAGTCGGAGCGGGGGGTGTGTCGTGTAGCCTGCGAATGTAGTCGTCGTCGGCGGCGGCGGCCTCGCATTGGGGTCAGTATCTGGGTGGTTCTGGTTTCTGGTCTCGGTCGGGGGATCGATAACGGGGCAGCCGGTTAGGGAGTGCAGGAATGGGGGGATTGTGGTGTGGGAGTGTTGCGAGGGGGTGAGGATGAGGAGGCGGCGGGGGTTGGCGATGACGTCGTTGTTTTGCTGGGGTTGGTTGGGGCATTGTTGTTCTTTCTTTTTGGGGGTTCTTTGGGTTGGTTTGTGTGAGTGAGAGTGAGGTTGGGATTCAAGTGGTGTAGTAGTAAGTAGGTAGGTAGGTGGTGGTGGTTGAGTTGTAGGTGGTGAGTAGTGGTTGAGTTGGAGATGAGCGGGGAGGATTCTTGCGGCGCTGGAAGTTTGGCTTGGGTTCGATTTGGAGAGGAATGGGTGGCATAATTCTTCCTCATTCCTTTTGGTTTTTTTGCTTACGGGGGGCTTAATGGACAGATAGTGGTCAATTGATTCCTCTATGCCTTTTTTTTTTTTACCAGGTATCGATGTTAGATCAGCTGGATATCAAGCTCGAGTCTTCATCCACTGCAGCCGCATCTCACATATCGATAAATTTATCTTATCACCGTTTCCTCAAATCTACACAACCACGACAAACAGCGTCAAAAAAGGAGAAATGTCCCACAACACGCGCGGGTATAAGAATCCCATGTAGAACCAGGAATCGATTTTTCAGGAACGGCCCAATGTAAAGGTTAGAACGGCAACACGATAAAAAAGAGAGCAAAAGTCAAACGCCATTAATATGAGATATGAATATTTCCGGTTTTTTTTTTGCTTAACCCCTCCGTTGGCCCCGGGCACGCTGCACGGTGGCCTTACCACGAGCGAGACCAACACCGCGGCCGCGCTGGCCTCTTGAGCGGAACATGGGGGCGTTCCTGTTCGATGGTTTGTTAGATTTTGTATTGGAAGATGAACGAGAGATAAAGGAGGGGGAATGGCAAATGGAACAGTGATAGATGGGTAGGAGAGCATACCGCAACATATCCGGCACAATGAAGAACCGCACGTGGCTTCCGCGAATATAGACCTGATCCAAATGCGACACGCGACCATCCCGAGCAGTGACCGTGATATCCTTCAGTTGAACGTTCATGTTGTCCTCGGCTATTCCTAGTCAGTCTATGATGCCCTGGTGCGATGGTTGAGCGACGAACCCTCGAGAAGTTTTCCTCGATACACGACTCCGGAGGTGATTTCCAGGGTGACGACGTGGCCCTGTACCGCAGCGCGTTAGCTCCAGTTTCCCAGACGAGATGCAAGCAAGATGACGGCGCGTAAATGAAGCTCAGAAGACATACCTGGGCTTCGTTAAGAAGCTTGATCGGGATACCGATCGTGGAGGTCAATTTGCCCATTGTGAGGAGGAATGGAGGGGTTGTCGCAAGAGAGACGATAAAAAAGAGGTACAGAGAAGTTCGGATGCTTCAATCTCGGACAAAAATCCCGTGAGAGCAATAATCCTCCGTCTGGCGCACAGGGTGAAAGAAACAGAGAGTCGGTAGGATCGAATTGGACGTTCCGTCGGCGGAGAGTTTTGCGGCTCTGCTCCGCCCAGCCAATAAATAAGCTACGGAGCTTTGCTTTAGTTCTTCCTATAGTTAATTTAATACCTCCAACTCCTCCATTTAACAAAAACGAAAAAAAGAAAGGAAAAAAAGAACATACTCAAGTAAATAAAGAGAAGCGAAAAGAAAATCAAAACAAAATGCCAAACCCACCAAACACCAATCTCCGCGCCTTCAATCTAGCCGTACAAACGCTGCTCAAAAACCCTCGCAGTTCCTCCCCCATCTCACAATCCCAACGATCACGCATCTCCCTGAACAAGTCGGTCCCTCAATCGCTGCAAACCTCAATCTCCAACCGACAGATGCATCCAAAACCAAGGGACCCACGATCCGTGCCCTCGTCCTCGACAAAGACAACACCCTCTGCCACCCTAAAACCACGACATTCCCTCCGCAGATCCTCGACAAGCTGCATGCCCTCCGCACGTCACATACCTCCCCCTTCAACCGCGAGCAGCATCCGGACTCGATCCTGATCGTGTCTAACCGTGCGGGTTCGCATCCGCGCTATGATGCGGAGGTGCGGGAGCTGGAAGAGCGCCTGTCGGGACTACGGATTCCGGTGTTTCGGTTGCCGGAGGGCAGTGAAAAGAAGCCGTTCTGTGGAGACGAGGTGTTGGCGTGGTTCCGAGAGAGGGGGGTGGTGAAGGGCGCGGATGAGATTGCTGTCGTAGGGGACCGGTTGGGCACGGATGTGTTGATGGCGGCGCGCATGGGGTCGTGGAGTGTTTGGTGTCGCGATGGAGTCACCGAGGGCGTTGATCCCAAGGACGTCAGGCCGGGGATGAACCTTCTGGAGAAAATGGAGGTTTGGGTGGAGAGGTATTTGAGGGAGTCGAAAGGGCTGAAGGCTCCTCCACCAAGTGGCTGGGACCGTCAATAGCTTTCTGCGCAATCGTTCACCTTGTTTTTTGACATTTGTAAATACCCATGTATCATAGATAGAGCTTGTCTTCTACGCCAATAACTACGACTGCTAGCAAAGAGTCTGTCTTAAGATGCTGGTTCATATTGGTAGATCTCGAAAGTATGCACGCGAAGAATTTCACAGCTTCGCAGAAACAGAATATCACCGGGACAACCCACATGGCTGTCATGCAGATGTCAACAACTGACAAGACCGAACCGAAGACGCAAGCATGCGACAGGCAAATGACCATAACAAAGGGAATATGCAAACAACCCTAATCCCGCCAACCCAAAAGCACCAATCAAATGAGAATTCAAACAATCTCGCCAATTGTGCGACTTTCTGGCATAACCACGTTAAAAGGCCCCGACCAGGTATATAAAGTCAAAAGAAAAAGAAAAAAGGTCCAGGGTAAATTGAAGAAGTTCGAAAAGAAGTTGCAAGAAAAGAGAAAAATATTGCCCAGTATTCGCTGCGGCAAAAATGTCTGATAAAGTGGCAAGGACCAGCCCCTAGAGAAGGGTATTAATACACGAAAAAAAAAAAGTGAAGAAAAAATGCGCAGAAGAAGAGCATAACGCTGAGAGTATATCAGAAGAAACGAAAAGAAGAAATGGATATATCCTCGTCAATCTAAGTTGGTGGGACTGAAAAAAAAAAAGCATCAGTCTCACCAAGTCCTCCAAAGAGGGACGTGAAAATAACTGGTCAAGGTTGGGTATCTCCACTGGATACAATATCATCCAATCATTTGGAAAGTGATTTGAAGAGCTTGTGAAAGAAAATCAAGCCTATCAAAGAAAAGAATTGCCATCCTGCCAAGTGATACTTGGACACGGCATAGAAAAGAAGCGAAGACCAGGAGCCGTTCACACCGAACGGCAAGGCACATGTGTAAGGTTCAAGATCCAGTGGCGAATGCATTCGGATCGGCGTTTTCCATAGACGTCATTTGGTAGTCGCCCTGAACACCGGGAGAGGTGTGACCGGACAAGGTCTGCATGGGCAGATCAAAAGTGTTTCCTTCGAAGCCCATGGTAGTTGGAACAGTGAAGTTTACGTTCTGCTTGGGAAACATCCCATTCATCTGCATTCCCTCTTCCGCAAAGCTCGGCTGATGCTCATTGCTCATGCCATACATCTCCTGGGACGCGTGCATGTTCGACAGTGGCGGCGAATGATCCGCAATCATAGGATCGGCGTGGCTGACAGTCGAATATGGGGATGCAGAATGCGTTCCCATGTTGGAAGAGTCAACTTGAGGGGAGACGAAAGGCAGGTTAAAGGGGGTTCCCATGCCCGCCGCGACAGGGGTCGAATCGCCAGGGCCTCCAGTGGAGAAAAGCCCGGGACTAGCGAAGTCGGACGGCGAGGCGGTCGCCGTTGTCGCAGACATGGGGTGAGTGCGGGGATCGAAGCCGTACGCGGCGGAGGTATCAATCCGCAGGTTCGCGGCTAATGGATGCGCTGACTGGGGAACTGGCGCAAAAATGTTCGAGTCCGCATGGTTGAAATGCACTGGAGTCTGTGGCATGTTGTAGGAGGCGAGAGGCGTTTGCAAGGCAGAAAAGTCGACGGCCACTGGAACAGAGCGACTCCGTTGACGCCTGTGTCCGCGAGGAACCTGAAGGTTCAAGTGAGTCTGAGTTTCTGGGATCATGTTCATGAACGCAGGTGCGAATTGGTTTGGCTGCGAAGCAGGGCGTTGGATGAAAGGCGGAGACATGGGCGCATTCACGGCGAAGTTGTTGTATGCCAAGCGGTTTTGGAACGACTCCAACGACACCAACTTGGCGAGCTGCACACTCAGAACCTTCGGATGGCCTCCAAGGTGGTGCACCAAGATCTGACTAGCCTGCTGGTCTTCTGTAAAGTCGCCGCACTGGTAGAATCCTCCGGAGTTGGAGGAATCCATGTAAAAAAGCGGCGGCCGGTTCAGTTCCACCACTAGACCACCGGGCCTCGGGGGAGCGCCATTCGGCTGCGGTCCTTGGTCGCCCGACTCCAAGGTGATGTTCTTGATGTAGGAGAAAGGGTATTCGATCTTGTATCCTGCAGAATCATTGTTGATGTAATAAGTCATGCAGGCTTTTTCGGGGGAGTAGAAGACGACCAAGTCCATCGCGTTCTGCCCAATGCGCCGCCAGCTACCGATGGTCAACGACCGACACGTGAAGTGATGAATCACAACTTTTCCAGAGGGAGTGGACTCGCTCGGGTAAGCGCCGCCGGCTCCATAGCCTCCTGTGCGGCCAAACGGATCTCTTGCGCCGGGCTTGCTGGGGTCGAATTGCATCGCCAGATACTGGCGCATAGACTCGGGGATTGAATCGCAGCCCTCACCGGTTTCAATGCTCTTCTTCGCGAGCATCTTGATCTTTGCACGCCTAAATCGCTCGTTAGCAACATGACCGTCTATAGCAAACAAGAACCGTGCGACATACCTGTTCTGGAACCAAATCTGAACAGACCGTTCAGTCATGTTAATCTCCTGGGCGATCCTTTCGCGTGTGGCAGCTGTTGGGGTGGGGTTCTTGTTGAATTCCAACTCCAGGGTAACCAGTTGATCTTGCGTCGCCCGTTGACGCTTGTTGTTCTTCTGTTGTTGGGTCAGGGTGCTCTTGCGCTGCGGCCGACGGGCCGCGGAAGACGGCGCCATGGTGGCACTGGATGTAGATGGAGATGGCGTGGACGCGGCAGAAGACGAGGTGGTCGGTGCTGTGGTGGTGGGGGTAGTCGACATAGTCGACGGGTCAGGGGAGTCTGTCGAAGACATTTTGTTTGCAGGGATTGACCGAAGAGAAGGCAGAACTGGGTTCAGAAAAGAGAATCGACCAATTGAGAGATGGGAATGTAAACGAAAGAAAGGAGAGGACGATGTGACGATCCGGCCGACAGTCGAAGGGGATGTCCAAGTCTCTCAAGCTGCGTCAAGCGCGAGAGAGATCGATGTTTCAAACGAATGGATGTGCTCGGGCTGGAAATGGTTACAATTTCCAGACCTGAAGCACGGGTGAATATGAGCGCGTCGCAGAAGCGTCAACGTAATCGAATCTGGTAAAAGATAAACAGCTGACCTAGGCAGCTTATACGGTAGAATGTATATAAGGTTTTCGCAAGCGTGGCGGTTAATCGAATCGCATGAATCGAGGATCGATATCGCGATGACAAATCGGGCTATTCCACCGTCCAGAGGGAAGCAAGCGAAGGGCTCGTGAGAATGAAGTCGAACGTTAAAAGAGCGGAACGTTCGACTGTAGCGAGCGAATGGGGATGAAAGTAAAGAATGTAAGAAGTGAAGAAACAAAAGAGTGAAAAGGAAAGGAAAATGAATGATAGAAAGATGGTCGATGGGAAAGAAAAGAGGAAAGAGAAGAAGAAGAGAGGAAGAGAAGGAGAGAGAGAGAGAAGAGAGAGAGAGGAAGACAAACGGGTGGAGGACGGCTGTTGGTTGGTTCGAAGATAGTCAGGAGATGGGGGATGCTCGAACTAGCCTAGTATAGATAAGTAAGCGCTAGCTGTTTTGGCATCGGCGGTTCCTGGGAGTCTGTGACTGACTAGTCGACCGTGGGGCCTCGTTTCCTTTCCTCTTTTTTCTTTTTCTTTTTCTTTTTCTCTTTTTATTTTTATTTTTTTTTACGTTGGATCTTCTGCGTTGTTCGTTATCCTGGTTAGATAGGTTCACAATTTCAAGATCACTCCGTATAACATGATTGATTTTAAATTACTTCCACAATGTAGACATCTATATATCAGACAAAACAAACACCGTTGCAGAAGGGGAGGGGGGCAGAAAAAAAAAAAAAAGGAAAGAAAACAACAAACCCAGCAGCACCACCACCCTGTTTTTCGGCCCCTGCATCGGATGCTGCTGCCCAATGCTGCTGTTGAGATGCCGTCCTCCAATGATGGGCTGGGACGCACCTGGACAGAGATACTGGACTCCTCTCTCTGTAAGGTCTCTGTCAGAAATCATTCTGGTGCAGGAGCCGACCTGCCTCACGGATTTGTGCAAGATCGGATTGTTTACCTTTCGACTAGAGACTAACGTGTCCAAAGATAGTAACTGCATATCGATGCGGCGGTCTACACGCCAATCCAGCATCTAGTGCTTTTAGTAGTACTCGGACAGGTCTCCGACGCATGTCCCAAAAGGTCTCAGTGAATTTGACCGTTACGTATAACGGCTTCCACGTTCGAAGACCCTGAACCACCACCACCATTAACCCTACCCTAGTCCCAGAATCCTGTTCCAATGCACAGCAGCGTTTAAACATCGGACCGAGAGAACCAAATAAGAAAGAATGGAACACGTTAATAATACTTTCGTGGTTGATTCGGGACGGTCAACGACCTGGACCGGTCCATCCTTGAAGCGATCCGCGAAGCAAGAAAAGGGTTTCAGGAAACCAAGATAGTGGAGCAACCACACCAAAAAACCACACCAACACCAATCCAATCTACACTTTTGCCGAGTGAACGGTAGTTATGACGATACTACTGTTACAGATTTACAAGAGTTTGCCCTATGAGCCATGGCCAAGACGACCCTGCCACTGTAGAGCCGAACCATTTCCAGCCTCAAGTCGATTTGTCCGTTCGTGAGGGTTAGAAGGGTGGTGGGAAAAGTACTCCGTCGTTCAGTCCCATTGTGTTCTTTCCCACCCCCTTCTCAATACTCAGGAGTTCCACAGAGTTGTTCGGCCGGTACGCAGACTTGACCAGTGCCAATGGCCGACCTACCCTTTTCGGTAAGGGTGGTCGTGGGACACTTCTATTAATATGTGATTTTCTTAAGATCTTCCTTTTCCTGTTCCTTTTTTTCCTTTTTTTTTTTCGCTTTCGCACTTCAATGTTCGCCTCCCCCAAGTGTTGAACCACAGGTTCCGCCCGTGCCGGTTGAGCAGCGCATTCCATGATTCGATCCAGGTACCCGCCCTCCCCTCGCATTTCAACGACGACTGATTGGGTGG